TATAAACATATGTTATTTATATCGAATTATCATAAGAAAAACGGCAACTATCTTTTAAAGTTGATGTATACTTGTTGAGAAACATTTTCATTTTGTTTTCATCCCAATAAAAGAACTTTAGTCAATTATTATTGTGTTTTAGTTACTCTTACCATTGTCATAGCCTGTAGACTTTGCTTTTGGTATTCGTACTTTTATGCTATATTGATACACTTTTTTTGTTTTTCCTGATTGTATATCATCACAAGAAAACGGCAAAATTATGCTAGAATGTAACATAATAGATTGGATTTGTTGATTACCTCACAGAAATCTAGTATTTTTTAGTAAATTTTATTTATTGATAACAAATGTGACAAACCCACTGTCCAAATTAAACAAGAATCTAGCATTAAAGAAATTGCAAGTACACACTTATTTATACAAAGTATCATTTTACATTTTAGCGCTTTAAATAGAACCTAAAGATATTGATACATAAGTTAAACAAATCTATCTAATGAGGTCACCCATTACCATGCATGAGAAGTAGGACTACACCTATATTTGAACCATAATAAATTCTGTGATATGAAACATGTAAAAGTGAATTCTTAAGCAGTGAACAGGAAGGAATATGTAAAACAAATTTGCTGAAGCAATTCGGGAGATTGGATTATTAAACTTAAAAATAACGATCAAGTAAACTCTTCTGATGAGACCAAAATGTAGATTCAAAAAATTGATTACACCAGAACAAGAATATGGTCTACGTAGTTGAAAAGAACAGTATTTCAGAAATGTTTGAACTCTCTCCTTTTTTGATACATGCTTGAGTAATAGACGAGTCAAGTTAGTAGAAAATAAGCGTTTTTTCGACACAAGTGTATAGACGGGTTTGACAGTTGAAATGGATAGTATGAGATATTACAAAAAGACTCTCATCTAGGGATTCATGAATTTTTTAGTAGAACTATTTTTAAATAAACAATTAAGACGTCAATATCATTATTTTGCTCATAACTTATAAACTTGTCTATTTAGAGATTTGACGTCCACAGACGAGTTGTTGAGAAAGAAAAAATACACACAATGAGATATACTAAATTAAAATCGGTTAATAAACAAAAAAGTTATTGCATAATAACCAAGCAAAACGGCTGATTTTGATTATTGTTAATAACTCTTTTAGTAATCAATAAAATTTATTTAAATGTATCTAAACTTAAAGATCTCATCGTGTTCGAAGTGTGTGCGAAAGATAGGCTAGATCCGTCAAATAGTTTTTGCACAATTTAATTTGTTTATAAGATTTTTTGAAAAATGCATAAATTTCTAAGGCCGGTCCAGATAATTTGACTGAATGGATCTTAATAATCCGGGGCTTATTTTCTTCGATGAGACATATATTAATATCCTGTGAAAAAAAAATTTAAAAAAAAAATACGTTTATGTACACAAAATGATTTATTAATAAATAGCACTTTTTAAGTTTATAAACATTTACAATAACTCCGTACTATTTAGTTTAAATTAAATGGCAATAAAATATTCGGAAGGCGGGTTTAAAAAACAAAAACTTTAAAAAAAAAAGGTCCTGCGACCATTAGGAGCCGAGTTAGTCCTTTTTAAAAAAAAAATCACTGTTACGTCAATTAACAACAAAGGGCTGAAATTAACCAATATTTTAGAAGAAAAGTCTAAGTTATTCACAAAATGTTTAGCAACAAAAATAATTGAAAATTGTTTAAACAGGAGTGTTGTAAACGAAGAGTACTTTGCGTTCCGACTAGAATGGAAGGAGTGGGGATTGCCGATTGCACACAAACCGCGCTCTCCAAAAAAGTCGAGCGCACGGTTTCAAAATAGAGTGCTTGGAAAACATGACATATCTCGGGTTCTAGTGGACCAAATTTGTTCTTTTTTTTTAAACTGGGGTACAACGTTAAAATAATAACATTTAACGTACTTTCATTGCAAAATTATTCAAAACAAAGCAGCTAATGACTACGGAATGTACAAACTTTTTCTTAAGTCGTCTTTTTATTGTTATTTTTCTATTTATTTATTTCAAATATGATTATATTAAATAAATGTTATAAGTAAATGAACATTTTGAATAATGTTTACTAAAAATTTATTAACGAAATAATAAATTAATTTTATGTAGTGATTTTTTAAAATAATTTAATTTACTGTAATTTTCTACGCTTAATTTCTATATCGTCACTGCTACTACTATGTAAACATTCATCTTCACTTTCATCTTCAATTTCACTTGTATTATAACTTTCATAAATCATTTCATTTTCATTGTCGCTATTCTCTTCAAACCCAGTTAAATACATTTCATCAATTATCTCTTGTTCATCTGTTGTATCGTTTTCTTCTTCATTAATAATTTCATAAATATTAGTACATTATAATAGTAAAATAATATTATATTCAAAGTTAACCGTATATTATTCAGACAACGTGGTACAACCATGTGTTTATATTAATATATATCACAACACGTAGTTTTTTTTAATACTCAGATAAATTTTACTTACCATTAACTATTTGTAACAATTATTAAATAAAACAAAACACTAAATATTTCAATACAACAAACCGGTTGTATAGTCGCAGGAAAATGAGTTGTAACTTAACGGCCTAACGGCATCTGCTTTCGACGTGCGCTCGACGCTCGACTTTTTTAGAGCGCGGCTTGAGTGCAATCGGCAATCCCCACTGCTTCCATTTGAGTCGGAACGCAAAGTACTCTTGGTTTACAACACTCCTGTTTAATCAACTTTCAATTATTTTGTTTGCTAAATATTTTGTTAAAAACTTTGACTTTTCTTCTAAAAGATTGGTTAATTTCAGCCCGTAATGTTGTTAATTGACGTAACAGTGATTTAAAAAAAAAAAGGACTAACTCGGCTCCTAATGGTCGCAGGACCTTTTTCTTTTTTTTTTAAGTTGTGTTTTTAACCAGCTTTCCGAATATTTTATTGCCATTTACTTTAAACTAAATAGTACGGAGTTATTGAAAATGTATATAAGCTTAAAAAGTGCTATTTATTGTTAAATCATTTTGTGTACATAAACGTAATTTTTTTTAACTTTTTTTTTCATAGGATATTAATATATGTCTCAACAAAGAAAATAAGTCCCGGATTATTAAGATCCATTCAGTCAAATTATCTGGACCGGCCTTAGAAATTTGTGCGTTTTTCAAAAAATCTTATAAACAAATTAAATTGTGCAAAAACTATTCGACGGATCTAGCCTATCTTTCGCACACACCTTGTACACGATAAGGTCTTTAAGTTCAGATACATTTAAATAAATTTTATTGATTAATAAAAGAGTAATTAACAATAATCAAAAACAGTGGTTTTGCTTGGTTATTATGCAATAACTTTTTTGTTTATTAACCGATTTTAATTTAGTATATTTCATTTTGTGTATTTTTTTTTCTCAACAACTTGTCTGTGGACGTCAAATCTCTAAATAGACAAGTTTATAAGTTATGAGCAAAATAATGATATTGACGTTTTAATTGTTTATTTAAAAATATTTCCACTAAAAAATTCATGAATCCCTAGATGAGAGTCTTTTTGTAATATCTCATACTACTTATTTCAACTGTCAAACCCGTCTATACACTTGTGATGAGTAAAAACCTAACTTGATTGGCCTATAAATGAAAAACAAAACAGAGTTGAATGTTCAACTTGGGAGCATATAGAAGTGTAAGTTTTTAGAGATGCAATCCTAAAAAAAGTGGCCACTGTATAAATTTCCGGAAATAAAAATTCGTTGAAAGTTTTATGCACTATTTCATATTGTATTTGAGTATAAAAATAAAATTTTTTAAAAATTTTTCATTTTTAAAACAAAAAATGGCCATTACTGCTTGATTCTTTAGTATAATTTATTTATTAAGAAGGCTACAAAAGAAAATAGTTTAATATCGAAACGAATTACAAACTATAAAAATTATGAGTGAACTTGAACAAAATTCAAAGCACGGGGTGTTTATGTGTATCAAGGTATAAAAAAATGCTTAATAAAAGCTTAAATCTTTATTTTAAAGAAGATCTTTTCGGAATTTAATTACTCCATCATCAGTTTAATAAAAAGTTGTTAAAAACATTGTTTGGCCACAGAAAAACACTAGAAGGACATCAGTAATAAAAAATCCTCGTGTAATTTACAAAGGTATATGCAATAGACCATTAACTTCGGTAATTAATAAAAACTACAACAGGGGGCATTTAACATGTCCCCCAGGAGATGATGAAAGTTTGTCGATTTACATTACCTCTGATGTGTGTTGGAGTCTAGGGCTAACTAGAGTTAACTGCTTCATAACAATCTAACATTTTTTTTATTGTAATTAGAAAAACGAAAAAATATATATTGAAACTGAATTAGAAAACATTATTATTCAAACATAAACAAACAAAATTGGGTAAGAATCGCCGTGTGAGGTAGTCCGATACTGATTACTGGATTAACGCAAGGCCGAGATAATCAACCAAAAAAAAGAAGTATTTGGTGACTTTTCTAGTAACCTTCTTGGATGTAAATCTGTTTTTTAGTTTACTCCTTCTGGTTTAAAAACAGAGTCTAAAACAATTTTTGAAGTCTATGTTATAAACAATTTAATTTTTAAAAAATCTCTCAGTCCCAAGTTATTAACCGATTTAAAGTTTTCAAATTGAGTTTAAAAACTTGTTGACTATTATATTGACATAAAAATATATAACAATGACATTTTTATGCGGCATTTTTTTTAAACTTTCGAATTCTTCAGACAGTATTGGATTACAAAACTTTTAAGTTACGTCATAATTTAAGGAATAGTTTGGATTTTTTGCTTTATTTGTTACTAATAAGCAACAACGAATTTATGTAAGTCTTCTTTATATGTTATGTGTGTGTATGAGATTTTTCACATAAACCATTGAAAAAGAAAGTATTGAGAAAATAGAAACACCGTATGGTATATAAATAATATAAAAACTCACCTGCTATCACTGGAACATCAAAATCAAATTGCTGGCTGACGCTAGACGCTGAACAAATCTGCCTCGTTTTTATTAGAGGCGGGTTCTTGCTTTGGGATATCGCCACGCTCCTTCGTAGGTTTCCCCTAGTGGGAGAAGGGGGAGGATAAGAGATACCCCGATGGGTAGGGCTCAACAACTGGCTTCCATTCTTCCCGCTGGGCACTGACAGCGTGTTTTGGTTGAGGTTGAGGCTCATGCTACCCAAGTTAGGCGAGCCTAACGTTAGGTTCGGAAGACTCTGTCCGAGGCTGCCGTACGGCTGGACTGAGAGAGTGTTGGGGGTCTTATGGAAGAGTCTAAAAGGAATAAGAAGTACATAAAGATATCAATTGTACAGATCATGTTTTAAAGCTTTTTTGGAAGCGTAGCTTTCTTATTGCAGGCTACGGACGGAGCGGTGGATCGCACTGAGGTGTGAAAAAAATAAAACCGACACAAAAAACTAGGACGACTGTAACGACACATCACGCGGCCACACACTACGCGCGACCACACTACGCGCCTTTACTACGAGTAGTAAAGGCAATGCCTTGCGTGTTTATTAATAAAATAAAATAAAATTAAATAAAATAAAATATACTGTGTTTGATTCAAATAAACCACAATTTATATATAAAATAAGTATATTTTTTATATATTTTATAAAATATAATTTTTGAATCGATTACCAAATTGATTATTGAATCGGTTATCTAATCAAATTGAGCATCGAATATTATAGAAATAAAATAAAATAGAAAATGAAATAAAATAAAAATAAATTTAAGTAAATTAAAACCATCGCTCCTTGCTTAATGCCACGTTCCGTTTATTTTAAGGAGCACTAACTAAATAAAAAGAAAAAACAAAATTAACTAATACTAAAAAATACATAAAATTTATACGCTACCTATTTATGAGTGCCTTACCTATTTTTAAAGGAATTTTTCTGCGACACAGGACTTTTGTCTGGAGGCAACGGTTGCACTCCTTCGTCGCTTGACAAAGAGCCGGTCCTGTTCTCGTTTTCTACAGAGACGGCTCTAGATTGATTATTGACGGAACCGACTGATGATTGGTCGTTCATTTCAACTGATCCACTACAAAAAAGAATTTAGTTTACACGATAAATTTAAAAAAGTTTATATGCTGTCTTAATAATTGGTAGATCATCTCCCATGACTACCAGATGTTACAAATTAATTTATTTTTAACTATCACGGACACAAATGTTATACTAAGATAATGATTTGTAATTAAAACTTACCTATGACTATGCGCTAGGCTGGAGACTCGACTGGCACGAGAAGATGATGCTAAAGGCGATCGAGGGATGAGTTGAATATTGCTATAGTCATTTTCCAAATTATAGTCGAAGCTATAGTCAGTGTCGATGCTTTCGTCTGCTGTGTAACCCATTTTTTTCGCTTGTGCGTACAATGTTTGTGCCTTAGCTATCCCCTCTTTCCAACCCTGAAACAAAAGGACCGAAATGTATCGTATCGCATGTTTGGCAAAGAAAAGAAAGAAAAATATTTATTCTTTATACATAGTTACTTTTTGTGATGTTGGAATAAAAAAACTCGTATACCCATTACTGGGCCGAAAATGTCTCAAGTTGCCCTTTCTTTCAAATTATTTTTATCCCAGTTTATATTCACACTTAACTTCGAATAGTTTCTAAAACCACTAATAACTTAAAGCATTTCTGTTCTATTCTCTTATCTCGGAAGAAAGTCTCGCTAACGATCATAATTCAACTAGCACGTCGAAAATTAGTGTAGAATTGGAAAGTTTCTTAGGACTACAACACAAGAAATGTTTCGTACAATAAGTACAGCAAATTACTTCTCTGCTAATAATGTTCGGTTCTTTCGAATGGATAATTATTACAGTTTAAATAATATAAAATGTAAGTTGCTGACTGCTCAGAAGTTAATTCCTAAACTTATTTGAAATGCGACATGTTTTACAATTTAGTGAATAAACTGTAAGACGACGACGAATTTTAGAATGTAAGTTTTCCTGTCTGTCAACTGAAAGACAACAAACACATCGAAATTAAGGGCAAGATTTCAAGATGTAGCATTTCACATAGCTACATTTAAAATTGTTAACATTGCTATGGTTATTTAAAAGAAACCGATGGATTAAATAAGTTCTTCTCATATGATTTCACCTTTGATTTCACGAGAGAATAAGGGCGATATCACAAAAGACGAGCAGGCTTTCATATCGCACTTTGTCCATTTTTAACATTTTTCAGGAAGTGAGAAAAACTGCTACCCAATTATTAATAAAGTTGAAATATAACACGAAATATGAACAAATGTACATTTTTATTATCAATTTATGATGTTAAAAGTTTCATCAAGATATATTCTTTTCAAAAAAAGAAATATTGATGGACAAAACGCCATTTGGTTGTCTGTAAATGACAAAATGTAATTTGATTGTCCCTAAATGATTAAAATAAAAATATGAACTGAAAATACATTTTTTCAAGTTTTCATTTTCTTCTGTTTGTAATGTAATATATTAAAAAAAATCATATGACATATATCTCGTCCTCCAGAAGACAGCAATGTTCTTCTCCATCTTTACATTAATCGCAGGTCTGGTCTTTTTTAATTGTATTTTTACGATACTGCCCTTTCAAAATTGGATCTAACCAAGTTAACTTTGGATCTAATGCCAACTTTTGCCTGATAAACTAACTAAAAATTTTGATAAGCTATCCAGTTTTTTCTTCTTAACAGCATGCTTCATTGGCAATTCCGGCAGTACTATGTTACTTAGTTTTTTCTGTGGTTGATTTAAACTTAAAAAAACTTTTTAGAAAAGTCATCATTTCTATACAATACCTGTAATTTATACAAGATTTTACTTGTCCCAGCAGTTTGTTTGCCTCAAGTTATGATTATTCTTTTAGCTCCACTGATACCTATAATTTTTTTGAGTGAAAGTGCTGCATGTTTTATGTCATACAAAGTCCAATCAGAGCCCAGATCGCATACTTGTCCTTTCTTAGAATAGATTTCACAATAATTGTCTGGTGAGTTTATAAAAGCATGGGATCGTAAGTCTAGCTCAACTTGACCAAAAACTCGATCACCTGGCATAAACGAATGGCCACGAACGGAATACGTCATCGTAATTGTTTTAATAGTTTTTGGGACAATAATCAAAAGCTACACGGTAAGTGCATGGTCCATGTGGGAATTTTTTTTCTGACCACATCCATCCGAAAACAATCTTAGATGTTTAATATATGGGCCAAATCAGTATTTTTAGAAAGTCAGTCAACGCGGATCTTATTTCTACCACGCCTCTTCCTGATTCATGCTCAAGCCATGCATAAAAAACTGGAGATTTTGTTAAAATATCTGTCAGACGACATGCATAAAAAGACAATTGCTGAGCATATAATGCTTGAGTAATAGGCGCTTATAGGAGATTGTGGACCAGTTGCAGATCAAAGCAATATGCCACGCTATCAGCAGATTCCTCCTATATTGATTTAAAAAAGTACTTTGCTTACGTCTTGTGAATAGGTAAATACTTAGTTTTTCTCGTTTTGCTATTTGTATCACCCACAACATGCTGACCTCCACTTATTTCAATATTATTATTGTAATCAGAAACAACTTATTAAGCACTAATAATATCATATATTGTTGATTCCTACAATGTCTAATAATAAAATAAAGTCTTTACATGGTAAAAAACCATTGCACGCAAAATTGCACTATTTGTTTGTCTCTCGCTACTGGCCAAAATTCGTTATGTTTATCTAGGTAATTTTTTAATTTTTGAAGACAAAAATATACGTGAAATATTACTTTTAGAATATCTAGGAGTATGCAAATTATTAAATGATGTTGTGAAAAATCCAACGCCACCCCGAAGTCAAAATATGGACAAAGTGCGATTTGAAAGTTTTAAAAAAATTTTAGGATGTTTCATTTGAAAAGCTATTGCAAATATTCTTCTGAAGCTATTTTCTTTAGTATTGTTCTACTTATTCCAATATTGTACACTATTGTAATTTTAAGAAGTTTTTTCTTTGTGAGGATACTGTTTGTGATAATACCGTTTTCAATTAGAAGCTGCAGCTAGAGCAAATGGCTGCACTGAAAAGTTGAAAAAAATGGCACCTTACTTGATTCTGTTACTTTGAAGATATAGCAACCATCTTGCAATTTCTTCCCCAAGATGTACCCGGTTATAATCTCTTATTCAAGCTTTAGAATCAAGAGGTGACCCGCAGCATCTAAAGCAGGTCAAAGACAGGTTCCAAAGACAGCTTGTTAAAATATTCAAAATGATTACAGAAATTTAATTTAGAATATAATTGAACGCTTAAATCTCTCACATTTAATACAGCTTTTAGTGATTCATAAGCTAAGTTTCAATTAGAAGACAGCTTAATAATTAATCTAAAAAATCTGTAAAATCTAGAATTTAATAATGGTTGTATTTTGACTTCCGAAGTGAAGCTTGAAACGTCAATATACTTATTTGAACCTTTTAATTGTAGCTTATTCCTATTAAAATAGTAATTAACTATTTCAAAATTAAAATTGTTTAGGTCAAAAAGGTTTTATCTGCAGTTATTATGCGTCGCAGTTAACTATTAGGTCGCCATGAATTCTAAAAACACCAAATTAAAGAAAAAGTATCAAATCATTTACGGATTAAAACGTTTATGTTAAATATTGTAAAATAATTTGCAAAAGTACTCTTATTTTAAGTTTTTAAACAATTAAAATAACACCTATGATTCCTAAAACTTTTGTTAGCGCCCTTTTTTAATCCACAAATTTAGAAAAAAAATTTAAACACGATTCCGTTAAAAATCCCGTCCATAATGCGCAAAAAATGAAGGGTTTAAAAGCGAAGCGATTTTACGATTTTGAAAACTAAATTCATAAATTCAAATTTATAAAAGTCGCAATATCTCCTGTTATAATTAACGAAAATGTATGTTTTTTCTAATTTAGAGTACTTCGTACTATAAGCAGACCATAAAATATAAGTTAATTTCTGAATTGTTTTTAGGCAAGTAACTTGTTTAAACAATTTAAAATAGGTAAGTATTTATTTTGCAAAATTTTACATTTATCTTATTACTATTAGAAGAAAAGGCTACATAATAATAGGTAACTTAAATATTTACGTATTATAGTTATAAATAAATAGTATTCTTTAAAATAAGTTTTACAAAAATAATAATTCTTTAAATAATTGAAATTGAAATTTTGAAATTAAAAAATTGAAATGATTAAAAAATCAAATCCATACTTTTTAATTTTTCTTGAACTATGCTTGTTTCACTATTACTTTTTCTTAAAAATATTACAAACATATTTTACACAAATTCATTGTTATAGACCGTTGGATAATAATTAGAAACAAAATTATGTAATTAATCTGTGTATATAAATGTTTGAGAAAGTATGCGCTCATTCATTTCATATTTTTACAGTTAATATTTTTTCTGTTACGGTACTGTAATATGACCTAATTTGGGTGCTGTATTTCCATCTTTTAAAATATATTATTTCCTGTGAGTTTGTAAAACTCAAACTAGCTCTCATTTATCATGTTAACGTACGCAGAATTGGGCTTTTTCTTTGTATTCTATGTCAAAAAAGATTGAAATACAGTACCCAAATTAAGTCATATTACAGTACCGTAACAGAAAAAATATTAACTGTAAAAATATGAAATGAATGAGCGCATACTTTCTTAAACATTCTCCCGCTCCAAAAACGAATGTTTTTAAGAACAGCTAAAAGAATAAGTATAAAGAATAGACATGAGAAGCTAAATATACTAAATAAGAACTAAGTAAGAATAAGATATAAACTAACAAATAAGCGGCAGTCATATTTTGACCACAGAACATTGTTGGATGCCATCTGAAACTGTACTCAGATTAACAACGCGTACAATGTCATCAATTAGAAAAGAATAGCGTCGAATGGGTAGAATTTTTCGATCGGCTAAACTAAAAAGATTGTGTCAAACACAATAGCGTTGGCCCCTTTTCCTATAAAAATTCCATGAAGTGCGCAAAAAACAAGAAGAAGAACAGCGTCGAAATCTAGGCGTGGTGTCGCATTTTAAGTCTGCAATAACAGCCGAGAAGTAATGATATTTCAACGAGATCCACGGTAGGAAAATGCCAGTTTGGTGAAAATTGTAATAATTGTGCCGGTGATAAAACACGACAAACACAATCAGAGAGGTGTTGATTAGAAGGCATATAATGCCGAGTGGAGTGTGGTATCAGTTCTTGTATGTGTTTAATACGATTGACAATTTATGGATAGAAAAATTAGCTCAAGAGAGCGCAAGCGTAGAGTCAGATCAAATATCGGAGGATTGGCAGGAAAACCCTATGACAAAGGTGA